ACATCTTCTCCAACATTTATCATTTTCTTTTTCTGCCATATTAGCCAATCTTACAGGTGTGATGAGGTACCTCAGAGTTGTTTTAATTTGCATTTCTCTAATCAATAGTGATTTAGAGCATTTTTTCACGTGACTCTAGATAGCTTTAATTTCTTCATCTGAAAACTGCTTGTTCATCTCCTTTGCCCATTTATCAATTGGGGTAAAAGGGGCTTTCTTTGAATTGGACAGTGAATTGCCTCATGGATGCCTTCATGGAATCATAGAAGATGAGACTACAAGTGGTCATTATCATTGCCAACAACAGTTTCAAAAAAAATTTATTCAAGTCTACTCAATAGGCTCAGTGCTCAGCACTTTAGAGGATCCAGAGAGGTAGGTATAAGATAGATCCTGCCCTCAAGGAGCTTACAGCCAGCTAACTGCATCCTCACTTTGCTAATGAATCCTAATTATAACAGAGAATGCCTTTCATAGGCACAAGCTGAGCCAACACAGCCTAGGCTTGTACCCCATCAAAAACAAATTATCGCATTAATCCCCAGGTATGTCATCTACTTATTCCAGCTATCCACTGACAGACAAAAGACCACTGGAATGTCTCCAAGGCATCTCCACTCTCCCAGAAAGAACTGACACTTTGAGGTCTGAATCTTATCGGGGAAAAATCTCAGAGAGCTCTGCCTCCATGATAAACATCCAAATGATAATACAGTATGTTCTGGCTCTCTTAGAATAATTAGACCTATTTCAGAGATCTGCATTACTGAAACTGTGATGCTTTCTTTTAAAAGATGCTTTCAGCCAATTCCCTGAGGCTATAAAGGCTGGGCATGTTCACTGAGCAAATCCCAGACTGCTGACCTATGTTCTTCCTGTCCTTGCATTTTCACTTACTGAGTTAGCTCATTGATCTCTGCTGTTGTCATGGGTCCATGGCTACCCACCCCTTTTCTTCCCAGAGTTATTTACCCAAGCAGCTAACATGGTCTACTTGATTGGAATTAGAGGTGTCTTGAATTTTTAGTAGTGGGTCACATGATCAGAATTCTATCTGTCTGGAAGCTACCTAGTGGTATCAGCAGGCGGATGGGTACTGGTTCTGTTAACGTGATATATGCTAGCTTCTTCATTATATTAAAAGATCTATTGGGGGATGGGGAGGAAAGACGACATCATTGATCAGAGTACAGCTTTCACCGATAGAGGTCACAAACCCTCAATAGTAGATAGTTTCATGAATTGCTGTAGTCAAGAAAGGAAATACTTACCTAATAGCCAGCCTCTCAAGCTAAATTTGTCCTTGGACAACAGAAACACAGTCCATTACGGTGGACTGATATTCAAAGTTTTTTCCAGTCTGACCTGCCAGAGCTTGTGCTCTGTTGATACAGTCTTTAAGCACTCAGGATCAACTCTGTATCACCTTTAATGAAAGGCATCATAGGTAATTAGGTAAAAAGATTTTTGTTAAAATTCTTTCAGGCAGGCCCCGAACACTTCCTAGCTGTATGATCCTAGACAAGTCACTTAACCTTGATTGCCTAAAAAAAAGTCAGGCCATAGGAATGACGAATATGATTATAAAGAAGTATGCAAAGATTTCTGTGAAAAGTATTATAGTTTTTTTTAAAGAGAACTAAAAGAACAACATATAATAAATCAAACTGTCAAGCAGTTTTCACACTTCAACTACATAAAAAATTAACCTCAAACAGAAACATTGAGTAAATATAATGGATAATTTTGGATTTACCTTTATTAAATTTAATATACATAACCATTATTTCTTTTAGCATCTGGTAAATAACAGGGATACAGTTCCATAAACAATCCTTTGTAACCACTTTTTATGTTGCTTTGTATAATTGTTTATGGAGTTTGGGTGTCTTTGTTTGTTGTTGCCTGTTCTTTGGATTTGTTAGGGAGAATTAAGTTCTTGTAAAGACAAAAGTATCAGGCAAACTATAACCCTGTTTCAAGTAGCCTGCATTGAGCCTTTTTGTTGTTGTTCAGTTGTGTCCAGTTCTTCATGACCCCACGTGGTGGTTTTCTTGGCAAAGAAACTGGAGTGGTTTGCCATTTCCTTCTGCGGCGTATTAAGTGCTTACTATGTGCCAAGAACTGTGTTAAGCATTTGAGAAACAAAAACAAAAATAGTCCCTTTCCTCAAAAGGCTTCCATTCTACTGGAGAGTATGGAAGAAGCAAGCAACATGTACACAGGAAAGTAAATAGAAAATATATGTAAAGTAATTTTAGAGGAGACACTAAGAGCAGAGGATGTAAGAAAAAGTATAGGAGATAAACTGGAGTTGAACCTTGAAGAGAGATGAAAAGAGCAAAAGGACCATATGTACAAAATATTTATAGTAGCTCTGTGTGGTGACAAAGAACTGGAAATTAAGGAGTTGCCTATCACTTGTGGAGTGACTGAGTACATAAATTGTATCATACCACCATTTGTTGTACATGAATGGGATACTGTTGCTCTTAAGAAATGATGAAGGAAGGGCAGGTAGGTGGCACAGTGGATAGAGCATCGGCCCTGGAGTCAGGAGAACCCGAGTTCAGCCGGCCTCAGACACATAACACTCACTACCTGTGTGACTCTGGGCAAGTCACTTAACCCCAATTGCCTCACAAAAAAACAAACAAACAAAAAAAGAAATGGTGAAGGAAATAATTTCAGAGAACCCAGCGAAAGTTTATACAAACTAATGAAGAAGGAAATGAGCAGGACCAAGGAAACAATTTGTACTATACAAATAGCATCGTAAAGACTAACAACTTTGAAAGATGTAAGAACATTGATGAATGCAGTGACCAGCCACAATTTTAGCAGATCAATGATGGAAGCCTACTGCCCACCTCCTGACAGAGAGGTAATGGACTTGGGGGTCAGAATGAGACATAATTTTTTTTTACATAGTGCAAGAATTTGTTTTGCTTGTATATGCATATGTGTTAACAAGGGTTTTTGCTTTCCTTTTTTTCTTTCCAATAGGGAGGGGTGGTAGAAGTAAGATAAAGTAGTTTTTTTTAATTGAAAACAATTTTTTTTGCTTTTTTGTTGTTGTTTTTTTTTATGAGACAGTCGGGGTTAAGTGACTTGCCCAGGGTCACACACCTAGTAAGTGTCAAGTGTCTGAGGCCATATTTGAACTCAGGTTCTCCTGACTCCAGGGCCAGAGCTCTATCCACCACCACCTAGCTGTCCCATGCTGTTTTGTTTTGTTTTGTTTTTTGGCAAGGCAGTTGAGGTTAAGTAACTTGCCCAGGGTCACACGGCTAGTAAGTGTCAAGGGTCTGAGGTCACATTTGAACTCAAGTCCTCCTGACTCCAAGGCCAGAGCTCTATTCACTGCGCCACGTAGCTGCCCAACAGTTTTCTTTTTTTAAAGAGCCAGGGGTTCCAGTAGGCAGAAGTGAGTAGGAGAATCATTATAGGATTGGGGTCAGGCTATGCAGAAGCTTGTGGCCAGAGGTAGAATGTCGTCTACAGGAGCAGCAAGAGGGGTAGGTTAGCTAGAGTATGGATTATGAAGAGAAAGAATGTGAAATAAGCCTGTGAAGATGGATTAGAATAAGAATGTGAACGCACTCTAAATGCCAAATACAGGTGTTTGTACATTATACTAAGGGCAGTAAGGAGCCACCAGTGCTTTAGGAATATAAATTTGGAGAGGGGAAGTGAGGAGGGATGACAATATGAGTAAAGATAGGGAGATGAAGATAAGAGACACTGAGGAGTTATTAACCTCCATTGGTTATGGGGTGTATGAGAGAAGACTTGGGGATGGCTCTACGGTTGTGAACCTTACTAAAACATTGGCAGTACCCTCACCAGAAATGGGGAGTTAGGCGGGGAAGAGGATTTAGTGGAGAATGATAAAGAATTCTGTTTTAGACATGAGTTTGAGATACCTATGGGATATCCAGGTGGAGATGTCCATCTGGCAGTTATGATTTGATCAGATCTTGGGAGAAATATTGGGGCATACATAGATTTTGGAATTATCTACATAGAGTACACCATTGAGCTTATGGAATCTTATGAAATCTCCAAGACACAACATAGAAGAAAATAAGACCATGACAGAACCTTATGACATACCCATGTAGAAAGAAGCAGGACATGAATGATGATCCAGCAAGGAGCTTGAGAAGAACCCAGACAGACAAATGTCACAAAAACCTAGGCAGGAGAGAGTGTCCTAGAAGAAGGAGTAGTCAGCAATGTTAAATGAGTAAAAATAAAATTTTTTAAATGTTAAATGAGGCCTAAAGGGTTTGGACTTGTTCTGTGTAACTCCAGAATCTAGAACTTAGAAGATTGCAAAGAAGGTTCAGGGAGGCACTGTTTAGCACAGTGAGCTAAAAGAACTTTGTATTTAGAATTGTCCAAACATAGCATGAGTTTCCCAATGAAGACGTGGGTTTTTCATCATTTCTAGTATTCAGGAAGAGGCTGAAAGACCACTTCTTGAGACTGTTGTAGAGGGTATTTATATGTCAGGTAAAGGTTTTTTAAAATCCCTTACAACTCTGAAATTCAATACAGTTAATCTCAAGGTACAGTCATATTCTGTTATGTTCTCTTTCCCTGGTAGTTCAGAGCCCATCAGCTTCTAAGTATTTGAATTATTTTTCCTTATTGTAAATTTTACACTTAACCATGTCCTTATTGTGATTTAAAATTCTCTACCAGTTAATAAAAAAAAGACTCCTGAAAGACAAAACGTAATTTACATGACATAAGGGAAGACAAGTATTTCATAGAATCATAGGGTAGGAAGATAACTTTAAGAAGTTATCTTCCTCATCTGCCTGTCTTTAGGCAGGACTACATTGTCCCTGTCAGGTGAAAACTGATCTGTTTTTTAAAGTCCTTTAGACAGCGAGATTCTTATAACATGCCATGGGAACTCCCATTTGCAAAGGAAGGATAAAGAAGCCAGTATCCTAGGCACATAGTAAACTTTTTGTTTCCATATCCAGCATTCCCCAGGTGTGCAGCCTGCAGATGTGGAGGAAGTAGCCAAGAAGGGGGTCCAAACCCTTGTAATTGGCCGTGGAATGAGTGAAGCATTGAAGGTGCGTATTAGACATGGTGACATGCCTCACAGCATTGATCTCCAGGGCCCTGTTTCCCCCATCCTCATTTTCTGTTACTATGGAGTATGTAGCTTTGTGAATTCTCTGTCTCGGGGCTCCTGAAATACAGGACTTGCTTTAGGTACATAGGGTATCAGAAATAGGCCCAGTGCCTGTATCCTCTCCCTTCTATTGTACTATTCCATCTCTGGGTCTTTGATTTCTTTTCTTCTAAGAAGGGTGTAGTGGTGGTATTCCTGAACAACCTTGGCTGTAAGCACTTTCTTGGCTATGTATAATTGGCTTGTGTGTGTGTGTGTATGTATGTATGTATGCACATTACTTGGTTATCTATACCATATATATATATATATATATATGCACATTACTTGGCTATAAGCACTTTCATAGAGCTTTTTGTACAGGTACTTGTAATGCTCCACTTGAAACCTTCCCCAGAAAGGCATAGCCAGGAAGAGTGGAGGAAGCAGGGGAGAAAATTCACATCTATAAAGAAGTTACCCCCAGTTTCTCTTTTTAAATAATCTTCAAAACACTATTAAAAGGTACATAGAGGCAACTATTATCCCAGTTGTCCAACAGTAGGAAATGGCTCCCATTTCTATAGCGCTTTTTTCTCACTAACAAAAGTAATTGGTAAGTGTTTTCTTCCCCATTTTACTGATGAGAAAACTGAGGCTTAGAGAAGTTAAGTGACTTGTCCACAGTCACATAGCTGGGAAGTTTCAGATCAATAACTGACCTTTTACACATCAGTGCTCTTTTCATCATGCTGTACTGTTCATCTTTTATGCCATAAATATACCTAGTGATTCACTCAGTGCAAGCCACAGGCAAAAGACAAATAAAAAACTCTCGATTGTGACTCATTTTTTCATACATTGGCTAAATGAGAACCGAATACAAGATCTGAGCTTATTTTCTCACATAAGCAAAATTTCTAAAAAACTGAAGTGTAGCTCCTTTAACTTTACCAAGCTTTTAATTTTTAAATTATAACTATTTTCGATGTTCTTCACAGCCAGAGCCTAAACCAGTGGAGCACACCCTCTGGCAGGTCCTGCCAGCCTGAAAGGCCTGAAGACAAAATATCACATGCCTGTTGTCAGAAAACTAGTCTAACCAAATGCATACAGTTGGCCAGTAAAGGGAGAATTGCATTTTGGCAATTTGGTAATTTATAAGACCATTTGCAAAAATGTTTAAGATTTGTGATACACATTTGTGGAGCAACTGCCCCTTCCAGTGAAGACGCAGATGTATAGAAGTACTGGATGGAAGCTTTCTTTATGGCTAACACAGTTCCCTGTCTTATTAAATGTAGTAAATTGAATAGAACCAAAACCTTTCCTGATGACTTGGGATTATTGTTAACATTAATTTTTTTCCAGCTCGACAATCTATTGCTACTCTCAGAGCTGAGACTGCCCCTGCACTGAGGGGCCCCATACATTTAGATATTTGAGGATTTTTTAGTTTTTGTTTGTTATGTTTTGTTTTTTTCTGTGTCTGCTATTTACATCGTTTAGCTTTTCTGGCTCTTTCCTCCCTGGCATGTTATCAGCTGTCACTTTTTATTGTTCTCAGGGTGTTTTTGTGTAGCCTGATATTGCCTTTCTGATTTACAGCTTCTAATCTGCTGCAGACTGGAAACTGAGATTAACAACCGGTGTTAGAATTAATTTTAAAATAAGAATAAATGTATAGGCTTGAAGCAGGGGCCTCTTATGAAGAGAGTTTTAAAGCATAGACTTCAAGACATCTCTTTTAGCTGTTCAGACACCCTTTATACTTCCTTCTGGGTTTTCAGCTGTATTCCAAATAGTCAAAGTTGCTAGATAAGTGATGTTCCCATGAATGAGATGTTACCCTCATCATTGTCGTTGAGTAGTGCCCTTGTGTTTCCTAATGGTAATGAGAAAGGGGCCATTAACAGTAGCTGGGTCTTTAGGCTCAAGCTTTATTATCACGTTTATCTCTTTCCCAGGTGCCAGCATCTACCGTGGACTACCTCAAGAGACAAGGGATAAATGTCCTGGTCCTCCAGACAGAACAGGCTGTGAAAGAATACAATGCTCTAGCTGCTCAAGGAGTCAAAGTGGGAGGTGTCTTCCACTCTACCTGCTGATGGCACCTTCCAAGTTTAGAAAAAAATAAAACTGATTCATGAATGTGACTTATCACTTATACCCTCTCCTTTCACCCTAGTCAGTCATTAAACATTTATTAAGAACAAGCTGTGTGCCAACCACTGTGCTAAATGCTGCAGATTACAAATATGAAAAAGACATTCCTTGCCCACAAGGAGCTTACAGTCTAACGGGAGAAGACAGTACACAAAGGGAAAAGGGGGTAGGAAGGGAAGGTATCTGGTGAGGAGGCATAATGGAGAAGTCTCAAAGAGTGCAGCCAGGTAGGAAATGCAGAGGTGGCTGGCCTGGACACCAAGGGAGGGAGGGGCCCAAAGCAGGACTGAGTGCCAGGGCTTGATGGGCTCTTCCAGGATGGTGAGGTTCCTGGGGCACAAGGAAGAAATCCAAAAGCGTGCAGCTGGTCAGGAAATGAAAAGGTCTCCGTGAGTCTAAACCAGGCTTAGTAAGGGCCTGGAGAATGAGGAACAGAGGAAAACTTTCACAATAAGACATTACTGGCAAGGTGTGATGATCTTTTTGTCAGTCTTTGACCTCCTGGGCTTTTCTGTACCATTTGACACTTCTGACTCTCGAACAATCTCTCTTCCTGTAATCACCACAAGACTGCTTTTTCTACCTAACCACCATGGTCCTATATACTTTGCCTAGCATCCTCTAAAGCTTTATCCTAGGCTTTCTTATCTTTCAGCACCCTTTCTGGTTGGTGATTTTCCCCATTCTAATGACTTCATTTAACACCTGCCTTATTAAAGACAATCTACTATATGTAACAGTACTTCATGACTTAAGGATCATATTGTTATTCACATTATTATTATTCACCGCAATTATTACCCTGTCCCATAATCCAGCAACACTCTCAGGGGCTATGTCTGTATCGAAGGGTGTCTATGTGGACTAAATGGCCTCAGGCTGACTCTTACTTTTATGTCAGCCCAATCTCCTCCCTTTACATCTCCCACTTTTATCCTTTTGGGACCTCAAGCTTGGCCTTCCAAAACTGAACATCATTTCCCCCTAAATCAGCATCTCCTCCCAACTTCCCTAATCTCATCCAAGATATAGAATGTTGTCTTTCCTCATCCTCACCCTCTCACCCCATTCAAGTCTTCCTCTTCAACATCAGTTTCATCTCCTTTTCTGTCCACGTTGCCAGTTCAGGTCCATATCACCTTTCACCTGAACTGTAAGCATAGCCCCCTACCTTATTTCTTTACATATATCCTCTTCCCCATTCCAGTTCATCTTTCCCATATCTATCCAAATAATCTTCCTAATGTCTAGGCATGACTCCACTCTGAGACTTATGGTGGGTCCTCGTTGCCTAGGAGATAGCTGACTTACCTGACCTAAAAACTAATTTTCTAGCCTTCATATCACTCCTTGTCATATGCTCTGTGGTCAAGTTAACATACTATTTATTTCCCAAACTGGATTCACCTGCTGTCTCAATAATATGGCTTCCAACTTCATTGCTGAACTGAAACTGCCTCTTCAAAGTTATCAGTGATCTCTTAATTGTCAAATCCAGTGGCCTTTACTAAGACCTCTGCAGCATTTGACATGATGGATCACCTTCTTCTCCTGGATACTCTTTTACGTACAGGTTTTTGTAGCACTGCTCCCTCCTGGTTTTCCTGTCTGTTTAATTACTCTTAATTCTCCTGTGCTGGTTCTTCATCCATGTCACGTGCACTGACAGTAGTAGGTGGCCCCAGAAGCTCTTTCCTGGCCCTCATTCTGTTTTCATTTTATACTGTTTCACTGGGGGATTACACCAAGATCCTGTGGGGTCATTTAACCTTTCTATGCAGATGATTCCTATACATACAGCGCTAGCCTCTCACCTGAGCTAAAGTCTTCTATTACCAGCTGCCATTTAGACATGTCAGACTCCCTAGAACTCAGTACGTTACCCTACTAACCCCTCGTCTCTCCCCAGCTTACCTATTTCTGTCGTGGGTACTGCTGTCTTCCTAGTCACCCAAGCCAGAGCTTTGATGTCATCCTCAATCCCCTGCTCTCACCCCACATATCCAGTCAGCTGCCAGATCTTGTTTTTCCTACTCTCACAACATCCTTATGTCACATTCTCTCTACTCACACAGTCGCCAGCCTAGTTCATGCCTTCGGTACTTCTTACTTGGACTATTGCAGCAGCCTTTTAATTAGTGCCCCAGTCTCAAGGCCTTCTCCACACCAATCCATCTTCTGCTCAGCTGACAAGATGATTTTCTTAAAGCCCAGGCTTGCCCATGTAACCATCCTGCCCACAGAGCTCGAGAGATTTTGTATATCGCTGCCAAGATCAAATATAAATTCCTCTGACACTTAAAGCTCTTCGTATTCTGGCCTCTTCCTACCTTTTTAGTCTTAGAGTTTACTCCTTTCTATAAACTCTAAAATCCAGCTGCACTGATCTGCTTGCTATTCCTATTGCATTCTCATATGCCTTTGCATAGAGTGCCCCCCCCGCATGTGGAATGCTGTGTCCCTTCACCTCTGTCTTTCCGTTTCCCTAGCTTTCTTAAAGACTCAACTTAGATTCTTCTTTCTCTAAGAAGCCTTCCCTAATCCCTCCAGCTGCTAGTGCCTTCCCTTTGGAGATTCCTTCCATCAACTTTGTATATATCACCTATGTAGCTAGTTATTTACATATTGGCTCTCCCATTAAATGTGCCAAGCAAGGAGGTGGAAGCCTATAATCCCAGCCACAAGGGAGGCTTGGGGCTCTTTTGAGTTCAGGAACTTCAGTGGGTTTTGCCAATCAGATGTCTGAAATATATTCAGCATTAAGATGGGGAGTGGGAAACCACCTTAATTGACTAAAGAGAGGCAAACCAGCCCAGGTCAGAAACAGAGTAGGTCAAAGCTCCCATGCCAGTAAGTAATGGGATTGGGCCTGTAAGTTATCTCTGCCCTTCCAGCTTAGGAAAGATGGGGGAGATCCAGTCTTTCATTTATTTTAATATTCATATAAATGTATATATACACACATATGTATGTACATATATGTACATACATACATACACACATATATATGTACATACACTCCCCATTAGGGAAGGAACTGTTTCTTCTTATCCCCAGCACTTAATATAGTGCCCAGCATATAGTGTTTAATAACTTTGTTGACATTTCTTCTTTAATGTTGCTTACACTGATAAAACTATATCCATGTCTGATGTTGAACCACTTGGAAATGCCAAGCATTTCAGTAATCAGAAAATTAACCACCCACACCCCTGTTCTGAGTAACTCTGGCTGCTGAGAAGACAGGGCTTGCAGCCCATGCAGAAGCAGTTGCCTAGGTTGCATCTCTGCAAAGTTTTATTCTCAGAACTGCAGAGGTTGGATTGGAATTAGGGCCAGCAATTTCTACCACACTGCTATTCCTAGGGCTCTGGGCTGTCTCCATCAGATTCTGTGGTAATCATCTTGACCCTCGACACTGGAAAATCAAAGTGGATTAAAATACATGTTGTTCAACTAGGAATGTTCAGCATGGAGAAGAGCAAAGTTGGGCAAGTAAAGTATGGGCTTTAAGTATGTGGAAAGGGGATTGGACTTGTTCTTGGTATCAGAGGGCAGAACTAGAAGCAATGAAAGAAGATCCAAGGAGGCAAAATTGGGATAAACACAAGGAGAACAATGAGAGCTATCCAAAAATGGAGCTCCCCTCACTGAAGGTAATGATAGGGTTGGTATCCCCTCAATGGATGTCTTTGAGCAAGACCGTATGTCAGATATAGTTACTCCTTTCTTCTTGTCTGGGTTCCACTTAGGACTCTCCAGGCTTATTTCTCTATCATGACCCAGAAAAACTCACCAGAAAGATCACTCATCCCCTATGGCTTCCTCTGATTGGTCAGTTCCATCCATAACCTCCATTTTAAGGAAAGTATCCCTGGCTAGTTATGTTCACTCCTTCATTCCTCTCTGGGATCCGTGCCTCTGTCTGAACTTTTATCTCTACTATGCCTTCTCAAAGGTACCTTCTCCTTTCCTTTTCCCGACCTCCAAGCTTTTCAGCTTACTTTTATGTGATGTCTTACTTTATTAGGATATAAGCTCCTTGAGGGCTATTTCTTTTTGCTTGTATTTATATTCCCAGAGCTTAGCACAATAAATGCTTGATAAAAGCTTAACTGGATATAGGGAGGATTCTTATTAGGACATAGGCAGGGTTGTGCTGGAACCAGCTCTTGAATTGTTACATTTTTCAGTGAGCATTTATACCTCAAAAATAAAACAAATGCTAGACATTACGGCTTAATTTATTGTTTTGTTGATTATCTGAATTTTTTTAAGTGATGGAGAAAATGTTAATAATGTGGGTAAACCTTAAAAGTGTGCCGTGTGTACATTTCCTCCTACCTGCACCCTGAGATTCTGGTGTTAAACCTTTACCAGTATACCACTGGATAGAAGCTGGACTAGATGGCCTTAGTTCCTGTCCAGCTCTATGATTCTGTGATTCTGGGAATTGAATTAGTTTATGTATTTCCTACACAGGCATAGCAAATGGAGAGTTAGCAGGATCCAGAATTAAATATGGGGAGGAAGTAAGTCTGGATTACATTTGGGAAGTGGAAAAATTATCTGATCCTAAACTGATCACAACTGCAAAAGCTTATCTCTAACACCAATGCTTTCCAAGATACAGACATAGATATATACATACATATATGTATCTATATGTCTCATATATACCTCAAATATATGGTATATATGTAATATTTCAAAGATATAGATACATAGCATCACTGTATGAATGTGACTCATGAAATAATGCAATCTTCCATTTATGCCAATTGCAATTCCTCAGCAGCTTTTCTTCCTTTGAGATTCTTGTCCCTATCTTTCTGTGAATCCTCCAGGGGAGAATAGAGAAATTAACTAAACATCTTCAATGTTTCCCCCTAATTCTTTTTTTTTAAGTCTCAGGTGTACTTGTACAGAAATAAAGCCATCCAGCTGTTCTATCTCATTCTAGTTCCATGACCAGTTCACCTTCTTGGTTATAT